ATTAATGACTTGATCGCCCAAAGTCACAATCCCCTCACTAGGACTATTGCTACTAAAATTACACTCCATATATTCAATTTTAGATCTACTCAAGCGAAAACCTTTAAACATTAAGGTTGACCTCCATAATTCAAGTTTATCTTCAACTCCCTCTCTAGGCTTATCAATAAGAAGAATATCATCAACAAAAAGCATACACCAAGGTACATACTCTTGCAAATGTCTACTGAGAACATCCATGACTAAAGCAAAAATATATGGACTTAAGGCTAATCCTTGATGTAATCCAACCGAAATAGGAAAATACTTGGTCAAACCACCTTGTGTCACAAGTAATAGCTCCTGCATACATATATCTAATGATTTGAATATAAGTGTTATTAACTCTTTTTTTTTCAAGAACTCTCCGTAGCACTTCTCTTGGAACTTTATCATATGTTTTCTCTAAATCAATAAATATCATATGTAGATCCTCCTTGTTCTCTCTATATTTTCCTATCAAACCTCTCAATAAATGTATGGCTTCCATACTAGACCTACCCGGCATGAATCCAAATTGATTTTGAGAAACATTAGTACCACGCTATAACCTACGCTCCATAACTCGCTCCCATATTTTTAAAGTATGACACATTAACTTAATTCCTCTATAATTCGCACACTCTTGTACATCACCTTTATTCTTAAACATAGGAATTAGCACACTCAATCTTCACTGATCTGACATTTTTTTAGTCTTCAAAATAGTATTTAAAAGTTTAGAAAGCCAAGAAATTCCTTCATCTCCTAAGCATTTCCACATCTCTATTTGAATATCATCAGGTTCAACATCTTTTCTACACTTCATTTTCTTTAAAACCTCTCTAACTTCGGTTTTACTAATATGCCGATAAAAACAAATATCCTTATTTTCATTTAGAGTGCTAAAGTCACGAAAGTCAATCATATTTTCACAATCTTCATTAAAAAGTTTAGCAAAATATCTCATCCACATTTGTTGAATATCATCTTTTAAGAAAAGTACTTTATCTTCATCCTTAATACACTACACTTGAACTAAATCCTTACTACTCTTATCTCTTTGTTTGGCTAACATACATATATTTTTCTCCCTCTTAGTATCTAATTTATTATATAAATCATTAAAAGCTAAGCTCTTTGCATCGCAAATAGCTTTCTTAGATTCCTTACGAGCCTCTTTATAACTTTCCCAATAATCCGAATTTTTACATCTAAACCAATTTTTATAACAAATCTTTTTATTTTTTATATTTTCTTGCACATTAGAATTTCACCACCAACTATTTTTACTATTAGAAGATTTTCCCTTCGAAACTCCAAGCACATCTTTTGCAATAATCTTAATATCACTAGCCACTTTTTCCCACATAACATTAGCATCTTCATGCACAAACAAAATATTAAGATCTAAAATTTTACTCTCAAAAATAAGTTTTTTTTAATATTCTTTAAATGCCCCCATATAATCCTAGAAAATCGTTTTACTTTATTTTTTATTTTATGCCCATTTATCTTAAAGTTCAAAACTAATAATCGATGTTGGGTACATAAATTTTCACTTGGAATAACTTTACAAGCTTTGCGATCTAAACGATCTAATTTTCTACTACATAGTATCATAACCTTGAAAAAGTTAGTGTAATTTTCTTATGAAGAAAGTCTTATATTGCTATGAAATGGTCAATGATTCTAATAGAGAAGTAACCAACCAAGTGCTAATCTAATATATATTCACGAGTGATTTCTAGACAAGGGGTGCACCAAAGAAACTTTACCAAAAATAGAAAATGATAGTTGACAAGCAATCTCGGGATCTCATTTTCAATGAAAATAAGTGCAAATATGCCTTAAACAATAGATGGTTGCTTATGTTAATGTGGAATTGAGCCTTGCTAAAAAATAAAGGTAAATTGTTGAATGAGGGTCATTAGATCCCAGAAGTATTCAACCCTTTAACAACTTCAATGAAGAATCGAGTGCAAGTAGTAAGAGAAATATAACAAGATGCTTTGTAAGTTGGAGCCTCAAAAGGAGGGGGTCATCAGATTGGGCAACGATGAAGGATGAGATAGAACACAAGAGGAAATCGTAGCTCAGAGAGGATATTGATTTGGTAGCAAAAACAGTGGGCTCGATCACGTATATGAACATCTCGAAGACATGATGGAAACATAAACAATAGCAGCAAGGATTTTGAAAGAGCAAATGCAGGTGATACTATAATTTATGAGGAGAAACCCAAGTACTAATAAAAGGAGAGGACGAAGGAGTTTCAATTAAATTTTAAAGGATAACTCCATAGGCGGCACTCAACATGAAAAAAGTAAAATTGGCCCAAAATATTTAAGATAAGGCTAACAATGATGATAAGCCATTAGAGAGAAGAGATAATAAGATGGCTAGAAAGAGAAAAGAAAGGTTATAGCTTGTCAAATTGATGGGAAACACACAAGATTGCAAAAGAAATATAAACGGGAGGGAGAAAGAATGAAAATAGGAAGGGCGAGTGTAGAGAGAGAAAATATTGTAAACTGATGATAACAAGTAAAAAAACTATTAAAATTACCTTGACGTTAAACTACCATAGGAGTGAAATTGCACTTATAATAGGAAATCAAAATAGATGAAAGAATTAAAAAGAAAACTAAATTGCAAATCAAGTTATAGATTGAGTCCTCAAACATCTGATTTGAACCATCAAAATAGTTTGTTATGATTCCTTACAACAACAACATCAAGCCTTTTATGATTCCTTAAAGCAATAAAAAATTTATAGTTAATTTTCATTCAGCTCTTCATAGCTTGATTGTTTCAGAGCATAAAAGGCAAATTATAAAAATGACTTGGGGGTTGTTTGGTTTGCTACAAAACGAGTGTAAAATATTTCAAATACAAGGATTTTGAAAATATTGATGTTTTGTTTGAAGCAAAAGGAATGGAGAGTAAAATTTTGAAGGAAAAAAGAATTCACAATCTAGTTCAAATCCAGTGTATTTGAAATTCTTCATATTTGGGTGATTTCCAAATACATTGGAAACTTACTGCCGGACACCTATCGGAAGTCAACCACCGCCCGCCCGCCCTCCCCGGCCACAACCTGTTTGCACTTTACATTGTATTCATTTTACTTAAACCAAACAAAGAAAAATAATCTCATGCATTTCTTTTAAAATCATCCAAACAACTACAAAGTATTCCTTTTACATTGCACTACTTTTTCAGACAACCAAATAAACCCTTAATTAAATTGCAAATTGTCCGTAAGATTTTGTACATGGAAGCCCTCGTGAAAATACAAAACAAATTAAAAATAGGTTGATTCCATAATAAATATATGATGACAATACATAAGAAAATCAAAATAATCAATAATCATAAATCAGACAACAGTCTACACCATCATGCCTATGTAATAGCTCTTGGATCCAGCTATATATGATAAAATTAAGATTCAGGTGTCTTTCGCCATGAAACAAAGATGAGTTTAGCTATTGAAGATGACAATAATGGCCAAGCTGGTTAGATAGTTTAGGAGGTTAAATCAAGGTGAATCCATAATGGTTGTCAGTTGTCACCACAAAATCCCTGCATCCACCTAACATCATTAAAAAGCACAACACATATATCCGAGTACTACTGTAAGGCCCATCACTTAACAACCAGGTCCTCATCTCATAAGACTAGTTTGAGTCTTTAAGTTGACATTAGCTTTGAATTATAATAAATTCTAATACCGTGGAAGAATTTAAAAATGACTCTTCCACGTCAATCATTTTTGGCATAACATGCAAAAACAATAAATCAAAATAAGCTGGCTTTGCATTTATTCATCATAATTCTAACTAGTATTCGCCTTGATGGCCAAGATTTATTTGTTTATTTATTATTTTTTTAGGCAGACTTTCATCATAATTCGGACAAAGAATGCCATTTTTTTTATTTTTGCGGCAGACTTCATGGCTAAGATTATCCATCTTTAAAACTTCATTTGAAGCATATGCTTTGCTTTTAAAACAATTCTTATGATTTACATCAGGCTGACGAGTATGCCTCTGTTTAATTTGTCGTAGAAATGTGGCTTAGCCCAAAATATGAGCAGTTACATATTATAAATCTGCGGAACCTGGTTAAATGGAGTTTGAAGTCAAGCCAAACAGCAAAAGGACTAAGGGTTTTTACAAATGTGCAAAACCTAATTTATTTCTGAAAATTGGTTTCTCAAAAATTAGCACAATAATGAAATTGTTGTCATAAAGCTTCACTAGGAAATCCTTTGTTCACTATGTTTCTGGGTACTGTATTCTTTTCATCCAATAACCTTGACCTTCATGGGAAATGCTAAAAATTAGAATTCTTTGGAGGCAAGGATGTCAAACAAATTAAATAATGACCTTTACTATGTCAAATTTCCAACTCAAAAAAGTTAAATATTAAATCTAACGAATCCAAATGCTCAAAAATACATATTAATTATCCTGCACAGGAAAATGGCATGGTTTTGACGAAAATGATTTCCATTTGAATCTTTAATGTATTGCTTATAAAGGTGGCATCTTAAAACATGAAGTAATAATATTTCAACAAAGTTAAATAAAACTTTAAAGTACAGCAAGTAACTAAAACATTGCATGTTCTCAAATTTTAAAATAAAAATAAAAAACAAGGATAGTTTCATCAAATTCAAATATAACCGAAATTATTAAAAACCTGAATGGCAGTTAGCAACTGCCCCAAACAAAAGATTGTTCCCTCCACTGCCGCATAAAAGTATAAAAAAAAAATTGGGATCAATGTATTAAAGCAACTTAATATGATCGAAGTAATGTAGCAAAATATTATTGCCTTCACAGCATAAACTGTCTTATAGAGTACTTAAATAAAGCCACATGTTTATAGAATAAATAGAAATAGGGATGGCCCCATAAGGTTGCAATCATTTTATCGTAGAACATATATGTTACCAAATTAAATGGTTTTACCTCAATGTCGTCGCCAACATTAGTGCCAACGAGGGGTACTGTCCCCATACTTTGACCATTTTTACGCCACAATGATATCTTTTTATCTTCTCCAGCACTAGCTACAACTAGATCTGAAGGAGTAACAGTAAGAGATTAATATAAAGTACTCTAGAAAATTGGATTTTCAGCACTAACCTTATCTCTATAAACAAATTAGAGGTACAAATGTAAAAGCTAAGTATAACATGATTGGGAATTAGAGCATACCCCAATATAATTTTCAACATACTTTTCAAAGTATAATCCAGTGACCAGACGACACAACAAATAGATTCAAAGCCTGAAGATCATATTTACAGTCATTTTGGGCTTTTACTTTTTGTCATATTATGTAATTGCAAAATCACTAAACCACATGGCTCAAACTTTAAAAGGATACCATGCACACCTCCTAAAGCTAAAATTAATCAAGAATATTTTACGTACTGGAGGTGTCAAAATTCTAAATCATTTGCATGCCACCGCCCACATTTTTCTAAACAAGAATTTTACTTTCACTTGTATTTGTATTCTTGTTTTCCCAAGTCTTTGAGAACATAGACAATTACCAGTTTATAACATCTAGTTTGGTATGCACTAGTTTCTATGCCGGTTCTTAGAGCAAATGAGAGCTTATGTAATGGAATCTTAAGTCAATGTTCGCTTAGGTGTGGATGTAAGCTAGTTTAGTATCAAACCACGTAAAGATCTATTATGTTCATTTTATCATTTTATTAATATTCTTTCTTCTATTTCTTATAAATTAATTCTACTTGTCTTCAATTGATGTGACCCTAACTTCCTCCTTATACTGCAAAGTTAATCCATAACACTTTCTTATTATGCATTAAATCAAAGCACTGCTTCATTTATGTAACTGATCCAAGGCAGCTAAACCTATAAAACTTAAAATTTCAAATAATCATTCAGCACTATTCAATTACACAAATATTTTGATATATGCTAAAATTGGATATTATATTTATGTTTTTAATTTATTAATCATAGGCATTTAATTTGATAAATTGTTTATTTTACTCAAAATTTTCATTTATTTCAAAAATAGATTTGTTGCAATATCACATTCAACAACATTCACAAACTAAACACATCATATGAAATTTTACTGGATGTGACATAAACAATTTGATCAATTAATGATGTTAGAGAACCATGTTGGATGTAGCACGTAATAAATTCAAATATTTAAGTTGATGTAGGCAGGGGAGGTCCTTTTGTCATTGGGCTGCTTGCTGTTTCTCGGTTTGGGTTTGGCTGCTCTCGGGTTAGGCTTTGGATTCTCTAGTTATTAGCTGAAATTTTGAGATATACTTGGTGCTAACTCATTAATGCTTGAGCTGATAATTAACTCATTATTTGGTGGTATAATTGCACTTTCTAGCTCATAAATTCATAAAGGTATGTGGAGTGGAGCTTGTTTATTCCCATTCTTGAGTCTCTTTGGTTTCTTCCTTGTGAATAAAAGCTGTGGGTTGGTTGCCTTTTCGGTTTTCTCCCTGACTGCTTTTCTCGTGTCTTCCTCTGTCTCGTTTCCTGGCTTGACTCCTCAGGTCCCTCCCTGGCTGCTTTCCCGTGGCTCCCTGGCTGTGTTTCCCGTGACTTTTCTTCCTGTTTTATGTGCAGATTTTGTGGGCTATTTGTGGTGTCCTTTGGCCTTTCATTTCCCCAAACCTGATTGGTTTTGGTTCGAGGTGGAATGGTTGTTTGGCTTCTTTCTTTTGCTTATAAATTAGAGATGTTTTGTGGCTGTTAGAGAGTTTTTGGAGAGATGTTATGTCTGCTGATTTTTGGAAAGAAATCTGAGAGTTTTCTTTTATAGCTTGAGAGCTATGTATCCCCTTCCCCTCTTCTAGGAAAGCTTGCGAGCTTCTCCTTCATTTCGTCTCGCTTCTAATCTACTTCTTCTACCCGCAAGTCCGACGCCACTTGTACCTTTCTTCTCGATTAAGAAATGCAACTTTATGAGCTTTATTTTAAAAGTTTGTAAGCGTCCTTTATTGTACGTGTCGTTTTATAATATTAAAGTTTGTTGTTTGTCGTATAAGTTGTATAAGTCGTATTTTTCTAGTTTTTGGAAATTTTGTATCATTTCTATTTCCTAGGAAGCTTTTGTTTTTGTTTGCAAAAATTTGGGGTTTCTCCTAATTTTTGCTTGCATCATAAGTTCAATTATATAAAAAATAGTGAAAAACAAGATATAAATTGTAAGTTAAAATGGAGAAGCATGGGAAGGATAATATGTAATAAGATTGATACTTACAATTTACTAAATAAAACTACACTAAGAAGATTTATGTCATATAAAGTAATTTAAAAAAAAAGTGACTGAACCGAAAAATAATAATATTGTAAAGATAAATGTGTTAAAATGTTGGAATAAAATGATTATAAAAGAGAGATACATGAGCATTAATTAATTGAATATGAGGTTATATAATATTGAAATCAGGTAGGGGTGCAAACGAGTCAAGTCGAGCTCGAGTCAAGAGGTGTTCGAGCTCGACTCGCCAACCTAATACCAAGCTCGAACTCGAGATCGAACTCGAGTCGAGCTCAAAAGTCGAGCTCGAGCTCGACTCGCGACATATAAACGAGCTATCAAGCCGCTCGTCGAGCCGATCAGTTTCGATTTCCCGCCCTCCATACGCGTTTTCCCGCCCGGTTTCTCGGCGAGTGAGCCAGCAACAGTGCAGACTGCGAACGCCTCATTGCACGCGGTATTCTTTTTCAGGTGGATAAAAACAGATGGCAAGCTTTTTTTATTTTCTCTTGTGTAAACCTGTGACACTGACTTCTTTTGGAAATACTTTTTAGCTGGAGTAATTAATGTTGTGCTGCAAGCCTGCAACTTCTATTAAAACATTTAAAAATAGTTTTTTTTAATAAACTGATGCAGCAATGTATTTTTTTTTAAGATTTAAAATTAATAAAATATTAATTACTTAATTTTTTAAAAATATTAATATTTATTCGAGCCGGCTCGCGAGCTCACGAGTCGAGCCTCATGAAGCTCGAATTCAAGCTCGTTTACTAAAAGAGCTCGAACTCGAGCTCGACTCGTGAGCTCGATAAGCTCGGCTCGCGAGCCCATAAACGAGTCGAGCTCGAGCCGGCTCGCGAGCCTGCTCGGCTCACTTACACCCCTAAACTCAGGAAATTTGGGTATGTATATTAGGGCAAATTATTGCATCCGGTCACCGAACACGGAGATATGTCCGGATATTAATAAAATATTATTTTAAATTAAGCGCATCAAAAGCGCAGGTAAAATGCAGGTAAAGCGTAGGTAAAGCGCAGTCAAAAGCGCAGGTAAAGCACAGTCAAAGAGCAACTAAAGCGCAACTAAAGCGCAAGTCAAAAGCGCAGTCAAAAGTGCAGGTGACGTGGCAAATTTTTATTGGATGTCCGAACCTATTTTTCGCGTCCGGTGACCGTATGCAATAATTTACCGTATATTAGGGCATTGAAGACACAACATTAGTTTGCTGGTTTCAATGCAAGCAGTCAAAAATGATTGAAAGTGAGTTCCAAAGACTGTATTGATAAATGACATCAGAAGTGACTTGAAGAGTTGAAACTCACCTTTATAAAGGGAGTTAGTTCCATTCTCAAGGAGGGTAAAAGTCACTTTTGGTCCTTTGTGTGCAAAAGAAACAGTAATAATAATAAACAAGTACTCACTTCTGATAAAATAATATCATATCCCTCATGCTATATCTAATCAAAAACCAAGACAAACAAAACCTATCAAAGCCTAAGCCTTATTTCCTAGGATCAAAACAACTTAAGAAAAAGGAAATATAGTGCAAGAATATTTTCTTGTAATTTAAATATTTAAAATAATAAATAGATCTAATAAAAATAAGAAAATGAAGTAACAATTTGCATTCATCATCATCACTAGCCTTAGTCAAACAAAACCTATCAAAGCCTAAGCTTTATTTCCTAGGATCAAAATAACCTAAAAAATAGGAAACATAGTACAATAATATTTTCTTGTCATTTAAATATTTAAATAATAAATAGATCTATTATAATATATTTATCACTAGCCTTAATAATATATATATATATATATATAGTCCAATTTGCATTCATCATCATCACTTTCCTTACCCCAACTATTTGGAGACACATTCAAGAATGTTCATTCTCTATTTGTTCTTGCCAAGCTTTTCCAAAAAACTTTAAATTTATTTTTTTAGATTTTCTTAAGCAACTTACAGCTATGTTACATTTAGGGTACCCCTTTTGATTATTGACCTTCTTCATTTATTTTATATACATGTCTTTTTAATGCATCTTTTACGCTATATTGCATAGGTCCAAAATATTATGCAGGAAGATTCAATATTATTCAAAATGGCTTAGCCTTCCAAATAGGGCCCTAATGGAATTTGCCATAGATGTAACCAATCTAATATGATGGCCGACAACTGATTGAGTAAACAATATATAAAATAAATAAATGCACAAACGGAAGAGAGAGGAATTACTAGTGTGGTTCCATTTGACGGAGTTCACTTGAGATCCAGGCGAAGGCGTATAACTCAGAGTACATGGATCAGCAGATTTGACGCTGACATCAAAGAGCTTCACAGTGTCCCCTCCACATGTAGCCAACAAAGATGCCGATGAATCCAGCAAACTCATTCTCAGTATTCAAACTTCTCTTTCTTCTACAACCTACTCTCGAATTCAACCCCCTACAGCATCCACCGGCCTTGCAGCATCGCCCCTCTGAAAATTGTGAAAGCAGAAAAATTTGAAGAAAATAAACGAGAAACCCTAGATTTACAATTGAGATCTCAACAAATAGAATAAAGCGAAGGAGGGGAAGTGAGAAATCGGGGCTACCAACAATTTCGTCTCAATCTTTTTTTAATTATTATTGCCTTCGGATTGAAAATAAGAGGAATGAAGAATTGAACAGAAGAAACAGTAAAAGGACGGATTCCGGCGAACTAACTGGTAAAGAAAGTAAGCAGAAAACCAGTGACGAGCGATTGCGGACGCAAGGACTTGGATGCCGTAATTTCTTCTCCCATTTAATATTTCTTTATATGCAATCTGCAGACAAACTGACAAAGAGATTGATATTTTGTTCCGACGGCTGAGCTTATATTAACATGAATCTCTTAGTGGTCGGTTATGATGGGACGACGATACGGTCAGTGATGCCATCAAAGTAGGGAGTTATGATATTACAGTGGGACACGGGTTGCTGAATCAATTTTCGAATGTGAATGTACGGTCCCATTAGTCTTCTTTTCAATTTTTTTGCAGATATTACAAATTTTGCTTAAGATTTTCAATTTTTGTATTATTCTTATTTATACTTTTTAAATTAATATTTTATTTATTTTTGAATGAAAATTATCATGCAACATCAGATAAATATATCATTAATAAATAATAACTGTTGCATCCTAGAATATTCTTTGCGGTAGAGAAGTATATACTATATAGTTTAATGTCTTAGCATTGTACGAAGATCCAGCACACAATCAGATAAGTGAGAGGGTGTAGCATTCATAGGAGACACCAGAGTTTTTACGTGGAAGACCCCTAAATAGGGGGAAAAATCACGGGGCCTAGCCCGGTTGAAAGTGATTCCACTAGAATTTGAGTCGGTTACAAAGGGCTGAATCTCCTCCAAGGGTGATCAGATTACAACTAGTAACTGTTCGATAGGAGTCTGGTGTTAGACCCTGCGTCACCTGGAAGTTCAAGTGTTAGTTAGTAGTTTGGCCTTGAATAGAACGTTGGGCCTTGAGCAGAACGTTGGGCCTTCGGTAGTGTGACGCCCCAGGCATCCATAGTGAAAGGATTCGTCTGACATTATGATCGAACTCCATTCCAGTTGTCTTGCTCGGACCTGAAATTGTTAACCACATATAATGAGCTTAAATAGTCCAGCAGGTCACCAAAGCCTACAACTGAAATCAAAGCATGGTACTGCTATCAATATGCATGTCAATCAATCAAATCCATAACAGTCAATGGTCAATGAGTCTATGCAACGGAAATCAAATCAGTAGTCAATGCAGTACGAAACTCAATAGTCAATGCAATCAATAGTCGATGAAATCAATAGTCGATCCGATAAATCAAACTCAATCAATCAGTACGTCAAATCTCAAAAGAAACCGTACCCAGAAGAAAGTCAATCAATCCGTCAAATCAGTCGTATCGAATCAGTCGATCAAATCAAATCAGTAAAGCAGAAATCGATAAAGCAATAAATCCGTAAGTCAATACAATAAACATGTATTTCAATACAATAATACTAAACAAGTACAATCAACTGGCTATGTTGCTGTTGTAGAATCCATATTATTGTTGTAGATATCCATACGTTGGTTTCTATAAAAAGAGTCGTCACTCTATTGCCCGTCGGCCGCCCGTCGGCATATCTATAAACCCCTTATGAGTCCTATCTATATTGCTGTTGTATAATCCATATTTAAAGGAAAGCCCGTCGGCCCACCATCCTGTACAGGTCAATTCAATCTCCAACCAACGTTCAACCAGGTTCCACTTATGTTCCAGTATCAATAATCAATCAATAATCAATATTAAAGCAATCATATCAATATTCACATTCATATCTATCAATCTCAGACAAATCAGAAATCATACGAAAATCGGGCAGAGTAACGACAGTCTATCAAATTTACACAAAAAATTCTGCAAAAAATCACTAATTTTCAAATTACAACAGAACGTTCACAACATCAATATAAGACTATTGTTCTATAGAATCCATATCAAATAACATCCAGATATTTTACTATTCTATTAAAATTGCGTAGAATCAATTCCGACCGGTAAAATCATTGCAAAATATACTCAAATCTTGTACAATATTTATATCTATAACATTCTAAAAGTTGTGCGGTGAAAGTTGTGTCAATACCAAATAAGGTCCATTTTTTGATAACAAAAACACAAATCCGTACACAACACGATCAAAACACAATATATTTGAAAACAGAAATATGATTCGGAGTTCTTACCACGAGATCTACACTTTCTCCAACAGCGGCGTTGGACGAAAAGCGCTCCGCGGCCTCCTAAAACCAGCTTCCATTCTCTTTTCCTTTATCTTTCTCTCTCTTCAAAATCAGATATTTTATAAAATGATTTTCTCTCTCCTCGAATCGAGCTGATTTCCTTATAAAATTAGTCTGAACGTCCTGGACGATCGCCACATCGTCCTGGACGATGTGACCAATTTCCAATCGTACAGGATGATTTTCCAGGACGATACAGGACGATAATTAATTTGCCAAAACCCCTTACTCTCGGGATTTTTCCATACACTGATCGTCCCAGGACGATCCAAAATCGTCCTGGACGATCCAGTCCAGAAATCATTCTAGAAACACTATAGAAATCAGCTGTTTTCAATGCACTGATCGTCCTGGACGATCTCAACATCGTCCTGGACGATCCTGGGAGGAAAATCCAATTCAGAGAGGAACAGTAAGGGAACGAGGTCTCACAGGTAGAACGTTGGGCCTTGAGCAGAATGTCAGGCCTTGAGTAGAGCATCGGGCCTTGAGCAGAGCGTCGGGTCTTGAGCAGAATGTCGGGCCTTGAGCAGAGCGTCAGGCCTTTAGCAGAACGTCGGGCCAGAATGTCGGGCCTTGAACAGAGCGTAGGGCCTTCAGTAGAACGTCAGCCCTTAAGCAGAATGTTGGGCCTGAACGTCGGGCCTTCAGCAGAACGTTGGGCTTGAACGTCGGGCTTTAAGCAAAACGTTGGGTATTTAGCAGAATGCCGGGCCTTGAACAGAGCGTTGGGCCTTCGGCAAAACGTCGGGCCTTCAACAGAACATCGGACCTTAAGGTGGTGGTGCAACGAAGCTCCGACGATGGTCCGGCGAGGTTCCAACGGTGGTCCGACGAGCTCCGGTGGTGGTCCGGCGGTGGTCCGACGAGCTCCTGTGGTGGTCCGGCGAGGTTCCGTCGGTGGTCGAGGAGGAGCTTCTTCCTTCTCTTCTCCTCTTCTCTTCCCTTCTTGCTCCCCCCCCTTTTGTGAAGAATGAGGGCTCTATTTATAGATTTTTTGGAGTGGCATAGCTCGTAAATAGACGTGAGATCAAGGGCGAATAGGGAGTGGTCGAATGAACGGCCGATATCGAATCCTACGCTCGTGCACCGTTCGTTGGACATTTGAACGTCTTAGAGATGTCGGAATTCGGCGATCTTGGGCTCGTTGGATTCGCCTCGTCGAGCCATTTTATTCGAGTATAAGCTCGTAAAAATCGGAGACCGTTTGGTAACTCAAACAGTGTTATGAAGCTCACAACAGCGCTTCGGGTCCTTAATTTGGGCTCATTTGGGCTCTGATTGAATTGAATTTGGTGTCGTTGGATTTGTATTTCCGAGACGCTCAGTTCAATTGTAAGTTTGTTGAAATCGGAGTTCATATAGTCTCCGAATTAATTTTTGATGTTTCCAACTTGATTATGCATCTAGATTCGTGCCCAATGAAGATAAATTTTTGACGATGTATCAATAGTAATTAAGATATATAAGCTTTAGAGAAATTTTACTTGTATCATACAGAAATTGAATAAATATTCCTTTTTTTTTTCATTGAATAAATATTTTTAATGATTTTATTTTTTAGCAAATCATTCCTATTTTTTGATGTCATGGTGCCAAGAATAGGGAGTCTATATGTGAATTTAAACTTACTTTAGACCCAAATTTAAACTTAATTATAATTAAAATTAGTTGTAAAGTTATTCGTAAAACTTCAAACAACATTCAAACAAATTTCGAACTATTGATTCGACCCAATCATAAGCCTTCTCCTACGTATGTTGCACTAGTGCAACAATCTCCCTCACTAATCATTGGGCTCTAGCTACCCTCTCATCATCCTTTGGGTCCTCTTAATCATGACCTTCGTTATTGGCACCACCATATTTCTTCACCCCCGCTCATCTTCATAGGATTGGAAACGAATTGAGCGTTTATAATACCACTCGATGCTCGACTTGTAAAAGCTCATTCGTAATCGTTTAAGTAATCAAACAAGCTTGAACATTTTTTTCAAATATTTGATGTTTTAATAAACAAGTATGTGTTCGACTCGTTTATGTTTATGAACAATATTGTTTGAAGCTCGTAAATATGCTTAACAAGAAGCTCGATATGAAACTTGATCCATGTTGGATACAAAGCTCATGAGAAATTCAATTAATATTTGATATTAATAGTTTAATACTAGTTAAGTCTCATTATCAAAATGATAAAAGTCTAATATAAATATTTGTATTTAATATAATTGAAAAATATAATAATTATTGATTAATAAATTATAAATATAATCAAATTTTATAATATACATTAATCAAAATAAATTATAAATATTTATAATTGATATTATATTATTTTGTATAATTTAATTAAAACTATTTTTATTTTCTATAAATATATATTATTTTGAATTTCTAATATTTTTTCAATTACTCAGTTTAATTGGCGCGGTTCGCAATTCGCACTCTGGGCACTTCGCGCCTTCACATTCCCGAGAGAAAGGCGAAACCTAGTCGTCTTCTTGCGCCGCTCGAAGCCCATTTCTTCCCCACGCTGTTCTTGAACCCTCCTATTTCTCCCCTACGCCGCTCCCGACAGTCCGTCATCTGAAAAACCGAAAGCGTCGGTGAAAAACTAGGCAGTTGCGAGCAAAGAGGCGTGCTAGGAGGTGAAATTTTTGGTTGGAGAAGTCATCGCAGGTTCATACTCATATTGATGATTTTTTTTTCCATTTACGAAATCTAAGTTCATTATTCTGTGCCTCCTCTATTTACACGTTTCTTCACATAACCCTTGTTTAGCCCACACTGTCAAAAGCATAGTTTAGCATGTTACTGGGGTTCACTCTGCATGTTATATGCGGTGTATGAATCCGTCGAATGGTCTTTACTAAACTGATTGTTGGCAATTCAATCTACGTAGGCATGTTCTGGTTATTACGATGAATATTTATTTTTTAGGCTTGCAGTGTTTCTACAGATTACACTTAATTTCCATTTTTTCTTTCTGTTGTTTAGATGTGAAACGAGGAAAGCCAACACCAGGATCAATCTTACTAGCAAGTGATCGAAAGAGTTAGGGCTTAGAGCCGGTTGAGATGTTTAAGAGTACTAGTTTTGATAAAAAATATTATTGTAGAAGTTTGAGAATAGTTTAGAAATGATCAGACGTAAGTGAAAAAAATTAGTGGTAATTCAGGATAGTGAACAAGGTTATTGAGGGAAAAATGTGCTTTTAATGAATGGAGAGAAGTAACTATTAAGCTATTATATATAAAAAAAACGATAACTTATATCTTATTGTAATTTATCTTTAACTTTAATTTTTTCGCTTTGAGGATTTCCCCAAATACTCCAATTTTAGGTCATGAAAATAGTAATAAATGCATGGCTTCATATTAAGTTCACTTATTTAGATATAATTTTGCAAACTACTGTAGAGTTAGTCAACTATCCATCTAGCTGATTTCAAAGAAGTTGTTTACTTTAGTGGTGCACTTTGAGGTAAACGATTCTTACTTAATTTGGGGTTTTATGCGCCCTTGCTCATTAGGAGAGTTCCATTGGCATTTGTCTAAAAATTTATTGAACATTTATTTCTCATGTGTAATTTAGTATGTAATAATTATCATTTTTCCATGATTATGACAATATATTTATGAACATTTTGTTAATTTATGGAGTTCAATTTACCCTTTATAAGATAACTACAAATTCAAAATATATGGTTTGGCTAATCAGAGGTTCAAATAGTAGTTACAAGTTTTTATGTTATGGTTTAAATTCAAATAAATTTGAACTTAGTTTATTATGAATTTCCATCTCTTTAAGTTCTAAAAATAAGAGACAAAAAAATGTACAGTAATATTGAATTTTGCCTCTTATGTTGTGGGGGGAAAAAGAGGATGATTGGGTGCCTTATAAAAGGACAAAAAAGGTCCACTTGTATTGCATTATTTCTCCTATGTGGTGGGGGAAAAAGGATGATTGGGTGCCTAAAAAACAGACAAATATAGGGAATCAGGAAAAATGAGAGAGAGAGAGAGAGAACAAGTGTTGTTGTGCAGTCATAGATATAGCGAGATAATTTCATCAAACCACTTTGTTTTGAATTTTCTGTCATTCTGTTTTTTTTTTTTTTTTGCAATTACTCTTCAGCATGTCTTTTTTTCCCACTAATACCAAAATTAGAGGTGATGTCCTAAGGGTAAAGAAGAATCAATGACCACCAATGCTAGAAAGGTCAATGTTAACAAGATTGATAGAAAAAAGATTTTAAACACAGGAAGGTGTGGATTAAGGTGTACATGTATTAGAATAAATTTCATCTACATCTCTTGATGATAGTGTCCATAATATGACATCCCATAAATAAAGATGATTGCTATCTCATAGATAGACAAATGTTGGACAAATGTTGGGAGCTATGTATTTATTGCTTACAATGAATGCATGCTTTAGTATATTGCATAAGAAGATCATAGTTGGTGTAACGAAATCATTGTCAAGCATGCACATCAATTGCAAATAGAATGTTTTTTTTTATGAGAAATTATTTTAGAATGACGGAGTTTGCTTTTTTTACAAAGTTTATGCATAAATTCAGTATGATCTCAAGTTAATCAAGTTCGATTTAGATCAATTCTCATAATTGGGTTTTTGTGTTAAGCTTTGGTGTATAACTGTGACTATAGAAAATAGTTCTTATAGGTTTATGCTATTAAAACTCAATTATGTTTGAGAATTAATCTTGAGTGAGGATATCCAGAGACAAGAATCAAGTTAAGGGTCATCTTCTTTTGCTTTGAATCTTGAAAGCTGATAAAGAACTGCAAAAAAGGCATAAGATCGAAGGAGATCCAAATTTCAAAGAAGTTGTAGATAAAGCAATCAAAGTTGAAGTCAATCAAAAGCTCATATTGGTGATTTCTGACAATGTGATTAGATCAAATTCATGGAAAGAGAGTGCCTACAAAAGAAAGGTGAAAATTTTTCAAACTAGAAAAAGGAGTTGATAAATGCCATTACAAGAGGTTCACAATACATTAATACCTTGTGTTGATTGTCCATGGAATCCTAAATAAAATATTTTGGTATGTCTTTTCATTGTACTTTACATAAAGAGCTTATTTCTAATTTTTTCGTAAAAATAATGGGAAAATCTTTCTTGCTGGCAATGAGCATTAAGCATTGTTGGTTAGATGAAAATTGCTAATGTGACTTGATGGAAACTTCAGAAAGTAAAGCATTTTGTATTCTTAAAATTAATTTGATCTCCATTACACAACATGATGAAGAAAAGATATAGCTCAGTCTTAAACACTAACACTTTGAAGGTAACCAACGGTACTATGGTAATAACTAAGGATTATAATTATGTTTGAAACTCGAAACTTGCTCGATAATTACTTGAAATTGAAATCGATATGCTTTGACTTGGAGGTGACTCTATTGAATTAAGTAATCTATTCAATATATGATGTATGCACATATTTGGGTGTATTTATACACACGTGTACACACACATACACACAAGTACATTCACAATACACTTATACACACACACACACATTTATGTATTTATGTTTAATATAATTTATAATTGCTAAATTCAGAGAATTTGAGAGGCAAAAAACTTGATTTTATTTCACAAACTTATCCATATTTATAGATCTATATAAGATATCTTAATAAAGAAATAAATAATTATAGAATCATGCATGATTGCTCTAATATAATCCTTCATAAACGGCCACTTGAAGGAGATTAGCGTGATTTAGGTGAGCCTCCTACGAATTTCCATTCTAGCTATTGGTCAAAATGCTAAGAGACAGTTAGGATTTAATAAGTGAGCCTCCCACGGATTCCCTTCCTAGCCGTGGAATCAAAATGCCATGGGGCGGCTGGGATTTAACACTCCCTCTCAAGCCGAGGAATATAAATCCATCATTCCCATCTTGGTAATCAGTCCTAGAAAGATAGAGTTATCGAGTCCCTTGGTAAGAATATATGCAATGTAATCTTTGAATGAGACATGCTTGATACATATAAGAGCACTGTTTAATTTCTCCTTTATGAAATATCTGTCAACTTCTATGTGCTTGGTCCTGTCACGGGCCCTTCCCACTTGATCTTTTGGTTTTCTAGAATTATCTTGATTCATAGTAGCTTACATATTCCTAAGGTCATAGCTCTATATTTTATTTTTGCACTGTACCTTGTCATCACATTCTGTTTCTCGATTCACCATATAATAAGGTTTCCTCCAAGGAATGTGCAGTATCTTGAGGTAGATCGTCTATCTACTGGTTATCTTGCATAATTTGCATTAGTATATACTTGTGGTGTTATTTTACAGTCTATTCTTAAAGGAATCCCTTTACCTGTGTTTACCTTAAGATAATTCAGTATTATGTATATAGCTTAAATGTGAATATGCTTTTGATTTTGCATAAACTGGCTAATCATGCTTATATCAAATGCTATATCTGGTATAGTGTGGAAAAGGTAGATCAATTTTTGCGTAAGTCTCTAGTAAGCTCATTTATCTACATTTGGATCTTCTTTAACTTCTCCAATTTAAGATTTGGTTATACTAATGTTGGTGCTAGTTTACAAGCTAGTTTATCTGTTTCTTTAAGAAGATCATTTATGTATTTTTGTTGTGAAATACATTAAGTAGCATGACTTTTGAGAATCTTCTATGCCAAGCTCTTAGTGACTACTTTGGCATATAGAGCCTTTTTAACTTGTACAATTTGTTACCCCTAGATTTCTCCTTGAATCCTGGTGGAATCTACATAAATATTTCTTCCTTCAAGTTCCTATGTAAGAATGCATTTTTGATATCCAACTATTCTAGATATCAGTTATAATTATCTGCTAGTGAGAGCAAGATCCTCACAGTATTCATCTTGGCTACAAGTGCAAAAGTTTTCTGGTAGTAAATGTTGTACGTATAAGTGTACCCTTTCGTCAGCAATCTTGTCTTATATCTTTCCAGTGTACCATCATCTTTGTGTTTCATAGAGATCGCTCATTTGCTGCCAATTGATTTTTCCCTACTAGTAGGTCGGTGATCTTCCATGTATTATTCTTTTCCAGGGCCTGTATATCATCTTTCATGGCACTTTTCTAATTTTCAATAGTAAGGTTTCAGAAATATCATTAGGAATATGAATATCATTTAGTGTAACCATGAAATTTTTGTATGAAGGTGATAAGTTATGGAATGATACAAAGTTGCTTATGGGGTACAATGGAGGTTTTTTGGTGAACTTGTATTTACCTCAATTTTAGTAGGTCTGGATTCTTGGATTTGCTCTGGAGCATAATTTGGATTTGTACACTTGGAATACGCTTTCCCATACCTCCTATTATCCATAATAGTTTTGTCCTCAATTTCCCTATCTTTGATTTCAGGTGTAGGTGGATTGTTTTGAGGTGGAGTTGAAAGGTCAAGAGGGACAAGCTCACTTTCCTCATCTTCCTCAGTTTCAATCTCCCATTGAAGATGAGATTTGGTGAGATAAGATTTTTGTTCATTAAAATTAACGTCAACAGATACAAGGGGTTTTCTTGGTAGAGAGATGATAACACTTATAACCTTTATGGGTGGATACATATCCAACAAAGATACATTTGAGTGCTATTGGATCTAATTTTTATCTATTTTGACTATGAATGTGAACATAGGCAAT